GCTCCAGTATTTAGTACCGCAACCAGTTCCTGCCCAAAGATATCAATGATCGTCGGATATGCGCGAACCAAGATGGAGCACGACGAGTACATTCGTCGCATCCGGTCCTACATGAAGACCCCCACCAAGGAGATTGAACAGCAGCTGAACGACTTTTGCAACCTCTGCACATACGTCTCAGGCCAATACGACAAGGATGAGTCCTTCCTCGCCCTGAACGACCATCTTGAGAAGCTCGAGTCCGGCAAGCCCGAGACCCATCGTCTTTTCTACATGGCTCTCCCCCCCAGCGTCTTCACCATCGTGTCCCAGCACCTGAAGAAGTGCTGCTACCCCAGCAAGGGCATTGCCCGCGTTGTCGTAAGTCGAGTCCTTCTTGACGCAGCCGTAATGCACCCCTAACACTGCTGTCTGCAGGTCGAGAAGCCCTTCGGCAAGGATCTCGCCAGCTCTCGCGAGCTGCAAAAGTCGCTCGAGCCTGACTGGAAGGAGGACGAGCTCTTCCGCATTGACCATTACCTTGGCAAGGAGATGGTGAAGAACATCCTCATCCTTCGATTCGGTAACTCATTCTTCGGCGCCACATGGAACAGGCAGAACATCGACAACGTGCAGATCACATTCAAGGAGCCTTTCGGCACCGAGGGCCGTGGTGGCTACTTTGACGAGTTTGGCATCGTTCGCGATGTCATGCAGAACCATTTGCTTCAGGTGTTGACCCTGCTTGCCATGGAGCGACCCATATCCTTCTCCGCCGAGGACATCCGCGACGAGAAGGTCCGCGTGCTGCGCGCCATCCCCGCGATCGAGCCCAAGAATGTTATTATCGGTCAGTACGGCAAGTCGCTGGACGGCAGCAAGCCGTCGTACAAGGAAGACGACACTGTCCCCAAGGACTCGAGGTGCCCCACGTTCTGCGCCTTGGTCGCCTACATCAAGAACGAGAGGTGGGACGGAGTGCCCTTCATCATGAAGGCCGGCAAGGCTCTTAACGAGCAGAAGACGGAAATCCGCATTCAGTTCAAGGATGTCACGTCGGGTATCTTCAAGGACATCCCCCGCAACGAGCTCGTCATGCGTATCCAGCCCAACGAGTCGGTCTACATCAAGATGAACTCCAAGCTCCCCGGCCTCAGCATGCAGACGGTCGTCACTGAGCTCGACCTCACCTACCGCCGCCGTTTCTCCGACCTCAAGATCCCCGAGGCCTACGAGTCTCTCATCCTCGACTGCCTCAAGGGCGACCACTCCAACTTTGTGCGCGACGACGAGCTGGACGCCAGCTGGAGGATCTTCACGCCCCTGCTGCACTACCTGGACGATAACAAGGAGATCATCCCCATGGAGTACCCCTACGGTGAGTGCCCTCTTTCGTGACTGTCCGACCGATGCCGTGCCGGCACTAACACGAGTTGCAGGTTCTCGCGGCCCTGCCGTTCTCGACGACTTCACTTCTTCCTACCGATACGAGTTTAGTGATGCTGCTGGTTACCAATGACCGACGACTGCGGCTTCGGCACCTAACAAGCTGTCAGTGGAAGAGCATTTGGTGCCTTGGAGCATACTTCTAGATAGGGAATTGAGAATCATGATCTGTTTTCTACTTGCACAGCTAAGTCAAGCGCGGAGCTTACGTTTTCTCCTCGCGTTCTCTCGATATCTTACGACAGACACTATTTGA